GAGCTGGGACAAACAAAGCAGACAGAGAAGAGCTTATTACACAGACAGAATGCTTCATAACTGCACACTGATGAGTGAAGGCATGTACTCCAAAGAGTATACGTCTGTCAGTCAAGAGTACATGTATTCCCGTCCTCTTCAGAGCACAACATCATAAATCAACAACAAAAACAACATGAGTTCCTTCCTCCTCACCTTGGAAGAACCTTCCTGTGTCAAAAATCTTCACCACAGCATCTCTCTCCAGTTTGCAGGGCCCCCCAGGGCTGTAGTGGGGACCCAATCCCCCCAGCCCGCTCCAGAACACACGGCTCTGGCACAGCCTCTTGATGAAGATGCCCTCGCGGTTGGCACGGACCAGCACGCCCCTCTCCAGGTGGCCCAGGAGCTTGCGGGTGACATGGCGTTGGCGCTCAGCCTCAATGAGCTCAGCGGGGGGGAAACGTACGTTCTGCAGGCTGTCTGGGAGACCGTAGGGGGACCTGTGCTGGACCAAGGGAGGCTGACCCGGAGAGATACGACAGCCATCAGCGTGAGAGGTCACCATGCTGTCCATCAGCTTCCCACCGTAGAAGAAGTTGATGATCATCTGAGAGAAGGCTGGAAACAGAGGGAGGAAAGTGTTGAGTTAGCCACTGTATTGTCTTCTATTAAGTCTCGCAGAGGAATGGAAATAAATTAATCAGTATTTAGAAATACTGAGGAAACATACCGGCATTGAAAGAACCCATCGGCGAGGGATCTTGATGCCCCGGGAAGACTGCAGGGTAATAATAATAAAAAAGATAACTGACTTTGTGGTTTAGATTTTTTCCATCATGAAATTAAAATATTTCCTTCCTCTTACATATGCAGCATGCTCATTAAGATGCAATGATCTTGAGTGACCGTGAAAAACATCTGACCACTCTATCATGTCATTATTTGTCATTTCATCAAAAAATACAGCCCGTCAAGCACAAAAGACTCAGAGGCGGCGTGACCAAGAAAAAAACACCTTAGTCAGCAAAGTGCTAAAGGATATTAGCCAATTCTTCCCCCTCTACAATTCTAGAATCATGTAAACAAGCTTGTGTTAGAAGCCATAACTGTAAGGTCATGTCACAGAGTTTTGCATCACTATAGATATGCAGTTATTTTTAAATGAATAAATCTCAACTCTCACAAAGGAGGAACTGTAGCCTCACAGAGCATAGAACATGCCACAATAATGCCCACTCTGATACAGGAGACATAAACGTGCAAGTTTCTCTATACACCTTTTAAAAATGTCCTCATGGAAAACAGCTAGACATATACTTTTAACAAAGGACAATATGATGTATAGGTGTTTGCTAACTCTAATTAAATAGATCAGATAATTCACATACATATATGTTCCAGTCACCACTTTATGAAAGTGTTTAAACGGGCATGACACCACCTCATGTTGGCGATACTCGTCTAGATTGGATGACACTGCTAAAGAAAATAACCGTTGACTGAGTGGAGAAGGACCCTTACCACTGACACTGCCCTGGGACCAGTACTCTGGGCTGGGCTGCATCCTACAGCCATCCTCCTGGGGAGAGTGGCTCCTCTTGATGATACCCAGGTACTCATCACTGGAAGACTGACAATGGAATAACACACTATGCAATTAGTCTCTAATAACCATACAACCATACATCAACAATCATACATATAAAAGCTACTTTAGAAACAGAAGAGGTAAGATAGTTGATAGCGGAGGATAGAGAGACAGAAAAGGAGGGAAAACTTGACAGACAGTAAAAAACAAGAAAACTGAGTGAAGTCGGTGAGAAATATAGACAGAGAGAGGAAAGGAAGAAATGGATGGAAAGAAAAAAAGCATACCTGTTTCACCTCTTTGATGAGCTCCTCCAGGTCTGCAGAGCTGCAGTCCATGTCAGTAATGTCACCAGAGCTAGATGTCAAAGCTGCTGCTGCACTTTTACCTGCTGGAGCAGAGGGGAGAGCATGGTTGTTAGTATTATTGTCACCGCTATTCTTTCTATTTACTACGGAAAAGGCTGATGGTCAAATGTAAATCAAGTTTCAGCAGCAAGCTGTCTTTGTCCAGGTTTCTGAGTTTTTTCAACTCTGATCAGGGCAACATCCTGCTGCTGAAACATTTTGACTTTTTAATAAATCATTTGCATGGGCGCAATTTGACTCTACATCCATTCAATACAGGTGTTTATAATGTTCATTATTCTAATGTCTCCACAGTGAAATATGAACTCACTCTTCTGCTCCTCCTCGGGGACGATACGGTACACCTTGTAGGGCTCAGAGATGTCCAGCTGGGACCTGTCTCCCACCTCCTCGAAGTCGGGGCTCTTATTGAGGGCACACCGCAGCCTGGTCTTCCATGTAGCAGGCTCAGCCTTCTCCCCCTCCTTAAACTTACCCTTAAACACAGCCCAGGCCTGCAGGGAGGGAGCAGGTGCATTATAAAGCGAGTAAGAGTAACATACATCCAAACATAACACATACCTGCTGGTGCCATCAACAACTTCTAATATTCAAAAAGCTCTGGAACCGGACGAAAGAGATTAGAAAAGTCCATGATGAAGCCATGCATAGAAGTAATCAGAACTCAACTACTTTGATAGGCAGAATACAATTAATCACATGATAAATAAAGGTAGGTTACATAAAACAAAGGTTGAATTGTAATGACATGAAACTGGACAGGTTCTGTTTGTTAACTGTTAAGTTGTAATTACTTATAATTACACAAAGATATTAGATTTTCCATGTCATTTTTCTCTGCTTGACTTATTATGACCATGGGCTCTATTTTCAGCTGGCACCAAGGAGGCGCAAGTGTCATATGCACATTCGTTTGCAATTCTGTCGTGTAAAAACTGGTGCACTGGCATTTTCCAGCCATAACGCAGGTTCGGCAATTTACCTGTTTAATATCAGCTCGCTTGCACTGAGGTGGGAGGGGTGGCAATATTTGAGGTGTGTCCTTAAAAACAAGCGCAAAAGTGACAATTTCATGGAGCGCTAATGGGAAGTTTTAAGACCCACAAAAAGCAGGTCTTAACGGTAACACAGTTGATAATGGCATGGATTTTGAGAGGCGGAAGTGCAGCCTATCCAGCCATGATGCACAGTGCCCATTGCATAGATGCATATTTTTATCCTGGCCATTAGCCAAGTAGCCTATGGATAAAGGGGTTTTAAATGGTCTACTGAGAGTGCTTAGAAATATTTTGGAGGTTTTTTTCTTTATGCTTTTTCATTTTTCACATACGCAGATAGTTCATTTCGCTTGTTCAAGTATCCATCCTCATCTCCAAAGAGTGCATTTCATCCGGTTACCAAAGACACGCTCCTCCAAACGCATTTAAATTATTCAGTCCTATAATGCATTATCAACGGTAGGCCTAGGCTATATTTTGCTTATTGAGAATGTGTCTCACACATACATTACAATTTGCAGGAGCCTAGAATTTTATATTTTAGGAGACGTGCGATGCGTAAAGACATGTAAGCTATAGGCTAGGCTCGTTGAAGCCAATTACAACCCTGTTGACTGACAACATTCCAAACATAGGCTATTGAGCAAACACTGCATTTATTTTACTGTTGCTATTACTCATTACTGTAGCCTATGCTATTTAATAAGCTGTAGTATCAATCCACAATGGACCAGGACGAGAATAGTCCATGCCCCCAGCCGAATTGGAGTTGATGACAATGCAAAGATCATCAATAACCTACAGAACTTGAGACAAATGCATGCAGTATTAAGCCATGAAATGCGTTGAGTGGCCAAGCCCTTGTCACACCTACAACTTGTTTATTCATCCGAACCCAGCCCTTTCGTTCCACTGCCAAATACACACCCCAGACCAAATGATACGGCCAGCACTTAGATTTAGCATTGCGTTAGTGTTGTTAAAATAGAGCCCCATGACTCATAGATCAATGTATTGTCAACTATGTCATCCTACTCTACAATTTATGTGTAGCCTATTTATGTGCGTTACAGGTGGTGAGAATGTTTTAGTTAGACCAACAAAACAAAAATTTCACACCCGTTCTATTTGTAGGCGCGAAAAAAAAGTGTATGCTGTATGTACCTCGACAAAAGTCGTGCGGAAAGAGCGTAGGCTTACGCTACACCTATCCGTTATCTAAATATGCTCTTCAAATCTACCGCTATCAACAAAATCCTCGTTTGAAATTAGTGTCAATGAACCTACTTTGAAGATAGAGGCGTCGACCTCCTGGTTGTAATCCTGCTTCCCAGCATGTTTCCAGGGGATGCGGAACATGGTACGGCTGTCGTCCTCCCAGAGCAGCCCCGGGTACTGGCCGCTCTGGATCTGCTCTACTAGCCACTGTTTCAGCCTCCGACCGCCCGGGTTTACTGACATCTGTAATACACATTCATAAGAAATGTCACTGTATGTATTAATTTGATGCGAGTTTGTGATAATTTGCTTATTTCGAGAGAGAGAGACAGAGAGAGAGAGAGAGAGAGAGAGAGAGAGAGAGAGAGAGAGAGAGAGAGAGAGAGAGAGAGAGAGAGTGAGGGCAAAAAGCAAAACAAGATAATATTGTTATTGATGGTTTTTATTTCAAAACTACTATAATGTTCTAATAGCCTACCTTTTTATTAAGGTAGCAAGGCACCGCTCTTCAAGAGTTAAAACAAAGACAACTAAATCTTACCTTTTATTTTTCTATTGATAGGTCCTTTAGCTATCCTTGAGATGTCCTTCAAATAGCTTATTGAAGACTATTGTTAAACCTTAACACCAAGTTGATGGCTCAGAGTCAATAGAATAAACCTTTACTCGCATAACAGTTTATTCTCTTTCAGATGAATGAAACATCGACTGCAAGCTGATTGGCCGGATGCGTTTCACTTATATCCAATCAGGTTAGGGAAATACAAGCCAATCCGGAAGTATTGTTCTTCGAAGCAATGGCATTTACAAGAAATCATCTGACAGGAGATATCGTAGCGTCTTTGCCACAGTTGGCTACAGACGGCGGGGTATTGAACAACCCTGGATAATAATTAGTAAAGGATAAAGGGGATTTCACAGCGTCATAAAATGACATTTTACTGTAAAGGTCGGCCCAACAGGTATTGTTCTTTCGTTACTAAAACACCCACTGGTGCAGGTTTTACTACAGCCTAGGCTGCATTCAAACATACTGTAGGTGTAGGCAGGGTGACTTTCAGGTTGGCTATGTTTGAACGATATGTACTCTGAATTAGATGCAATGATAAAGTGTTTATCATATTGTTTTTATTTCGTGAGAATAAGAGTCTCCACAAAAAAAATAAAAAAATAAGACAGTCTCTAATACCAACATGCTTATTCATAGCCCTTATACGGAAAGCACTATACACTGAGTGTACAACACATTAGGAACACCTGCTCTTTCCATGACATAGACTGACCAGGTGAAAGCTATGAACCCTTATTGATGTCACCTGTTAAATCCATTTCAATCAGTGTAGCTGAAGGGGAGGAGACAGGTTGAAGAATGATTTTTAAGCCTTGAGACAATTGAGACATGGATTATGTATGTGTGCCATTCAGAGGGTGAATGGGCAAGACAAAATATTTAAGTGCCTTTGAATGGGGTATGGTAGTAGGTGCCAGGCGCACCGGTTTGTGTCAAGAACTGCAACGCTGCTGGTTCTTCACAATCGACAGTTTGCCGTGTGTATCAAGAATGGTCCACCATGATTAATTTCAATTTTAAAAGCTTCTATGAAAATGTATATAAATCAGAATTAAACAGTTGGACGGATCCTATAGCCTTCTTCGACTAAACAACTCTGAAGCAATTATCAGCAGATAACAAAAATAATCATTAAAAACAGAGATCACCCAAGAAGAAATATTAGATACAGTTAAAACATTCACATGGAGAAAAGCACCAGGAATGGATGGCTTTCCCATAGAATTCTTTTCAACATTTTGTGACAAAGTAGCCCCCCTATTTACACAAATGACAACACACGTCACTCAATGCAGTACTTCCTAGTTCCATGTATCAAACAGTTATTTCAGTTGTATTAAAACCAGGAAAATCTGGAGAGTCCCCCGCTGATTATAGACCCATAAGTTTAATAAATTATGACAAAATATTCAAGCTTATAAGAAATAGAATGGCAAAAGTTTTACCAGACTTGATACATATCAAACAGGGTTTATTAAAAATAAACAAATACAAGAACATGTTTCAGTTTAATACAATACGCAAATAAACAAGATATAGATTAATCAGTAATGGCTGTTGATGCCAAAAAGGCTTTCAACTGTCTTGAATTGCCTTTTCTATTCAAAACTTTGGAAGCTTTCAACTTTCCAGCTGTAATAATACATTTCATAAAACATTTGTATAAATGTCTTAAAGTACAAATATACACAAATAATACACTATCTGATGAAATTGCTTTAGAAAGGGTGTCACGTTGTATAAGGATTTGAAGACAGGTGCAGGAATACGTAATAGGGGTTTTATTTTCTCCACCCAACACAAGGTACAGTGGGGAAAAAAAGTATTTAGTCAGCCACCAATTGTGCAAGTTTTCCCACTTAAAAAGATGAGAGAGGCCTGTAATTTTCATCATAGGTACACGTCAACTATGACAGACAAAATGAGAAAAGAAAACAGGTGTCTTTTATACTGATAACAAGTTCAAACAGGTGCCATTAATACAGGTAACGAGTGGAGGACAGAGGAGCCTCTTAAAGAAGAAGTTACAGGTCTGTGAGAGCCAGAAATCTTGCTTGTTTGTAGGTGACCAAATACTTATTTTCCACCATAATTTGCAAATAAATTCATAAAAAATCCTACAATGTGATTTTCTGGATTTTTTTTTCTCAATTTGTCTGTCATAGTTGATGTGTACCTATGATGAAAATTACAGGCCTCTCTCATCTTTTTAAGTGGGAGAACTTGCACAATTGGTGGCTGACTAAATACTTTTTTCCCCCACTGTATGTCATGAACAACGCCAGGGATGAAGCCCAAAACAAACACGTATATATGTACACTGCTAAAAAAAATAAAGGGAACACTAAAATAACACATCCTAGATCTGAATGAATGAAATAATCTTATTAAATACTTTTTTCTTTACATAGTTGAATGTGCTGACAACAAAATCACACAAAAATTAATCAATGGAAATCAAATTTTTCAACCCATGGAGGTCTGGATTTGGAGTCACCCTCCACATGAAAGTGGAAAACCACACTACTGGCTGATCCAACTTTGATGTAATGTCCTTAAAACAAGTCAAAATGAGTGCTCAGTAGTGTGTGTGGCCTCCACGTGCCTGTATGACCTCCCTACAACGCCTGGGCATGCTCCTGATGAGGTGGCGGATGGTCTCCTGAGGGATCTCCTCCCAGACCTGGACTAAAGCATCCGCCAACTCCTGGACAGTCTGTGGTGCAACGTGGCGTTGGTGGATGGAGCGAGACATGATGTCCCAGATGTGCTCAATTGGATTCAGGTCTGGGGAACGGGCGGGCCAGTCCATAGCATCAATGCCTTCCTCTTAAAGGAACTGCTGACACACACCAGCCACATGAGGTCTAGCATTGTCTTGCATTAGGAGGAACCCAGGGCCAACCGCACCAGCATATGGTCTCACAAGGGGTCTGAGGATCTCATCTCGGTACCTAATGGCAGTCAGGCTACCTCTGGCGAGCACATGGAGGGCTGTGCGGCCCCCCAAAGAAATGCCACCCCACACCATGACTGACCCACCGCCAAACCGGTCATGCTGGAGGATGTTGCAGGCAGCAGAACGTTCTCCACGGCGTCTCCAGACTGTCACGTCTGTCACATGTGCTCAGTGTGAACCTGCTTTCATCTGTGAAGAGCACAGGGCGCCAGTGGCGAATTTGCCAATCTTGGTGTTCTCTGGCAAATGCCAAAAGTCCTGCACGGTGTTGGGCTGTAAGCACAACCCCCACCTGTGGACGTCGGGCCCTCATACCACACTCATGGAGTCTGATTCTGACCGTTTGAGCAGACACATGCACATTTGTGGCCTGCTGGAGGTCATTTTGCAGGGCTCTGGCAGTGCTCCTCCTGCTCCTCCTTGCACAAAGGCGGAGGTAGCAGTCCTGCTGCTGGGTTGTTGTCCTCCTACGGCCTCCTCCATGTCTCCTGATGTACTGGCCTGTCTCCTGGTAGCACCTCCATGCTCTGGACACTACGCTGACAGACACAGCAAACCTTCTTGCCACAGCTCGCATTGATGTGCCATCCTGGATGAGCTGCACTACCTGAGCCACTTGTGTGGGTTGTAGACTCCGTCTCATGCTACAACTAGAGTGAAAGCACCGCCAGCATTCAAAAGTGACCAAAACGTCAGCCAGGAAGCATAGGAACTGAGAAGTGGTCTGTGGTCACCACCTGCAAAACCAGTCCTTTATTGGGGGTGTCTTGCTAATTGCCTATAATTTCCACCTGTTGTCTATTCCATTTGCACAACAGCATGTGAAATTGATTGTCAATCAGTGTTGCTTCCTAAGTGGACAGTTTGATTTCACAGAAGTGTGATTGACTTGGAGTTACATTGTGTTGTTTAAGTGTTCCCTTTATTTTTTTGAGCAGTGTATATATACAGTGGGGAAAAAAGTATTTAGTCAGCCTCCAATTGTGCAAGTTCTCCCACTTAAAAAGATGAGAGAGGCCTGTAATTTTCATCATAGGTACACGTCAACTATGACAGACAAAATGAGGAAAAAAAATCCAGAAAATCACATTGTAGGATTTTTTATGAATTGATTTGCAAATTATGGTGGAAAATAAGTATTTGGTCAATAACAAAAGTTTCTCAATACTTTGTTATATACCCTTTGTTGGCAATGACACAGGTCAAACGTTTTCTGTAAGTCTTCACAAGGTTTTCACACACTTTTGCTGGTATTTTGGCCCATTCCTCGATGCAGATCTCCTCTAGAGCAGTGATGTTTTGGGGCTGTCGCTGGGCAACATGGACTTTCAACTCCCTCCAAAGATTTTCTATGGAGACTGGCTAGGCCACTCCAGGACCTTGAAATGCTTCTTACGAAGCCACTCCTTCGTTGCCCGGGCGGTGTGTTTGGGATCATTGTCATGAAAGACCCAGCCACGTTTAATCTTTAATGCCCTTGCTGGTGGAAGGAGGTTTTCACTCAAAATCTCACGATACATGGCCCCATTCATTCTTTCCTTTACACGGATCAGTCGTCCTGGTCCCTTTGCAGAAAAACAGCCCCAAAGCATGATGTTTCCACCCCCATGCTTCACAGTAGGTATGGTGTTCTTTGGATGCAACTCAGCATTCTTTGTCCTCCAAACACGACGAGTTGAGTTTTTACCAAAAAGTTCTATTTTGGTTTCATCTGACCATATGACATTCTCCCAATCCTCT